CGCAAGAGTCTTCATTATCTCCTTCATGGAGATCTCCTCTTCTTCAGATCTCTGGTCACTGTCAGCAATCAACACCATTTTCTTCTTCTTCTTCTCCTTCTTCACCTCCTTCCCTTCCTTTCCCTTGCCGGAGCAYHMRTCCTCTGCAACTAGAGCCAGAGGGCCACCTAGATTTCTCTTCATTTGCATAACTTGGGACTCTTGACTCTTGAGAGATCCGAACAAGTCTGCTAACGTCCATGTCTCGAGATCTAGAATGGCCTTCATGGACATTGTAATAATCGACCATTCATCCTCAAGGCTCTTCAGAAACAGTGAGTTGTTCTCCTCTGTGGTTCTGGGGATACCATACCTTTTACAGTTGCTAATCAGTGTGTTTAGTCTAGCGTATGTATCCGTAAGAGACTCACCCTCTTTGGCCTTGAAGCTGTAGTATTCATCGATGCAAATTGAATGATTGTTCTTTAGCGTCTTCCTTCCACCTTTGATTAATTTCTCCAGTTCTGCCCATATGTCCATGGACAGTTGATAGTGATCGATGCATTTGAAGATGTCGTTAGGAATAGCCATGATTAACAACTGTTTACATTTGTTCCCTAATTCGACGATTACCTTGTCTTCGTCACTCCAGTTAGCTTCGGGATGAGGCTCATAATGTTCAGGTATTTCTGGTGTAGTTTGAGTTGCAGAAACTCTTGGAATGAGGTTCATTGGGACGTAAGGAGGATTGTACAGGAATTCGCAAATCCTGGGATGAATACCTTCAAGAAAACTCACCATTCGGATTTTCCATTGAGGAAATTCCTCACGAATGAGCGTTGGAGGCTTAGACTGTGAACCCGTACTCATGAATGAAGCATTGGCCGTATTCGCYATTGATAGAAGAAAAAWCAAGAGGAAAATAGGAGAAMATTGATAGAACAGTGAAAAACAGAGTAAACTTGGAGAAGAAGACTGTGTGTTCTAGAGTCGACAAAGGATGAATACCAAGAACAGAAAAAATAAAATTAAAATTTGATTCCTGCTCTGATACCAATTGTTAGGATCGATTAACTCAGATTCTTGGTAAAGATTACTTACTTGGATGATCTGTTTAACAGTGAGAATGCAGCGGAAATAATAATAATCAACCAAAGTAGAAATCAATAAACAACACAAGGAAGACGATTGAAGAACACAAGAGAAGGCTTCAAATGATTTTCAATAGATGAAAATGTTAACAATTACAATACTGGAAGCACACTGAAATACAAAGGCCTACGCTACTATTTATACAAGCAAGTAACCGTTTCCTGACACGACCTAAAAGTAAATTAATCTAAGTCGTTCGATCAAAGCAGATTACAGACAAGAACACGTGATAAKCACGWGCAGCTAATAAACCTAAGTAAAACAGCTAAAGAAGATCTATACAGAAGACATGCTGCAGAACCTCTGTGAGACACGAAAGTGGTTCTGTCGTCTTTGACTTGTAACAATGTCTTTGCAGAGGACCAGTTTACAGAACCTCTGTGAGACACGACAGAGGTTCTGTCACTTGAGACTTGAACGTTTGATCATCTTCTGCTGTTGGTCCTCTGTGGTCTTCTGTGACAGATCATCTTCTGTCAATACTCGCAGTTTACTTTTTCTATACTTTTACATTTAAGGAAATGAGAGCTAACAAGATTTTTGAAGAGCCGTGTCAAAGTGTCGATGGTCGTCGATATTCAAATGGGCCTTGAAGGTAGCAAGAAGATTATTAGTTTGAAAAGACCAGATCAAGACCTTGAAGACATTGAAGGCTATCCTCTCTACATCATTCTTAAAGATCCGGAGTTTGGAGTGATTTATGATGCTACAGGCAGAATAAAAAGATTTATGAGATTCAGTAAGTTGAATAAGTACTGTGACTGTACGATTAAGATGGTGCGTCGGGTTCTTGAGAAGATTAAAGCCGATAATGATAAAGCCGCGAAAAAAGATAGAATGAGTCCAAAAGAAAGGTATTTTCTAATCAGTGCTTTGAACCTGTTGGATGATAAATTGCAATAATGGAGTGCTTTGAGAAGGATTGAAACGCATCTGGGGATAAGAAAGTCAAGATTCACTATTTCTCGTACTTGAATCCAAAGGGGGAGAATGTTGGGTTCAATACTATGTTGATATGTTGTATTCAAGTTGTTTCTCCTATTTTGTAATAGTTAAAGTTAATGTTCTCTTAGTATAAATAGGAGATTAGTTGTTTAATTTCAGTTTAGTGTTGTTAATCATTTTGTTATCATTCTCTCAAGAAATACATTTAAGCTTTGGTGAAAATCTCTCTCTACTATTGATTCTACTTTGAAGATTATCTGATTTGATTGATATTTTGGGAATCACAGGATGATGTAACCAACTTAAACAAAACAATTCATGATCGATTTTTAAATAAGCTTAGTAATGTAAACATGATTGACGATGTTGAGTTCGATGTGGATGAATAACATTTTATTGGGGCAAGTAATTATTTATTTTTCAGATTTAATAACATTTTATTTTTAATGATAGTACTTACATTTTATATTCATCATTAAAGATATCCTGAGTTAGGATTGTTGAGATTGTTGTTGGACTTCAAGAAGAGTTAGAGAAAACTCAAATGGTTGTATCTCAACTAGAAATAGATTAGAGATGCAAGTGAAGACCAGTTCATGCCATGGCCTTCAACTTAATATAGATCAGACATTAATTGAGCATATTTTGGTGCAATTTTGGTGCAATTTTGGTATACTTTGGTGCAACTTTTGGTATATTTATTGCATATTTTGGTATGTATTTTTGCACAAGTTTTGGTATATTTTGGTGCTAATTTATTATATTTTGGCGCAACTTTTGGAATATTTTAGTGCATATTTTAGTATAACTTTTGGTATATTTAGTGCATATATTGGCACAATTTTGGTGCTACTTTTAGTATATATATTTTGATGCAACTTTTGGTATTTTTTGTGCAAGTTTTGGTATACTTTTGTGCTATTTTTACTATAGTTTGGCTCAACTTATATATGTGATTTACGAGAACGTGAGAACAACTTAATTACCTCAAACTTTTTTAATTAATAAATTAACTTATATTAAATATAAATAAATTAATAAGGGCCTTAATGTAATTAAGTTATTTTTAAGATTTTTATTTGATTTTAATTAACTATAATTATCTTTTTTTTTCTGCACGTTCGTTTCCATTTTCTTCTCTTCTCTTGTGATAAACTCTTCTCTTCCCTTGTGATAATTGTGTGATTGTGTAATCATAACCTATCGAAACCATGATCAATCGAGTGTAACCATAACCTATCGAAACAATGATCAATCGAGTGTAACCATAACCTATCGAAACCATGAGTAATCGTTTTGATAAATGTGTTATTGTCTAACTCTAACCGATCAAAACCATGATCAAATCAAGTGCGTTGTTATGATAGTGATATCACATGATTATCACACTCATATCACACCAAATCGTTTAGTGGATTTCGCCCGTAATCGTTGTGATAAATGTGTGATTGTCTAATCTTAACCTATCGAAACCATCCGAAATCGTTGTGATAATGTCTAACCTAACATATCGAAACCATCCGAAATCGTTGTGATAATGTCTAACCTAACCCATCGAAACCGTGATCAAATTGAGTGATATTGATATCACATGATTATCACACCCATATAATACAAAATCGTTTAATCGATTTCGCCAGTAATCGTTGTGATAAATGTGTGATAAACTAATCACTGAAATCAACTTCTTAATCGATACCTAATAAAGATAAGGATAATCACTCTAATTTTAAGGATTATAATGTGATCGTGTAATCGTGCTTAACATTTTATGATATTGATTTTCATTATTATCTTTTTGAATCTCAATTTTCTTTGAATCTTTTTAAATTCCAATTTTAATTTCAAAAATCTTTATTTTAATTGTTATCACAATATGGGGTTAATAGATTGTTATCGCATTCGCGTAAATCATAAAGGTTCTCGTTTGAACCCTTCCCTATGTATATATATATATAGAGAGACAGAGTTTGTTTCAAATACAACTCATCGCATTTGTACAACCAATGCAACTCAATAAATTGAGATATTTATGAAAATAATAAGAGTTTATTTATTATGATTTGAATATTTATGGAAGATGAATATGGTTCATTAATTATGATCAATACTTTATATTAGGAAACAGTCAAAACTTCTATGAAATCACATATTAATCAAATGAAATGGACGGTTGAGATTGAGTTGTATTGGTTGCACAAATGTCAAGGGTTATAATAACCAACCTCTCTATATATATATATATGTGTGTGTGTATTTATTATACTTTAGATATAACTTTTGTAAGTTTTGGAATTACTAATGATTTTATAAATATAAGAATTTATTTGTCATAAATATGTATTTAACAGGTTTTCAAAAGTCTTAAAGATCCAAGAATTTATTTAATAGATTTTAGAAATTCTATTGATTGTTTTTTGAATTTTCCCCGATATACAACAATAAAGAGATTGTCTAAACCATAAAAAATGTTATACATGGAATTAAAAATAAATATACATTGAAATAGAAATAATATTCAATTTTTTACGAAATCATGCCAATTCCAATGGAGATGAACCCAAAATAATTACTGGAATCAAATTGTTTGTCGTTTCATAAGTCCCGAGTCATCTTCGTTTCGATCCATGCTTTGGTTTAATTGTTTTAAAGAAGATCAACATGAGACATGTATATCATCGAGCTATTTTTCGTACCCCCAGAAGTCCTCTCCCCGCAACGAGAGGTGGTTGATCTCTTGCATCGAAGATGAAGATGGCGTTGCATCATTTCGATATCTCAACGCCCCTTTCGTTAAATTGACATCCTCGTTCGGCTGACCAAGATGTGAAGTTACAAGCCTATCGATCATCCCCCACTCGTTTAACGTTTGATCTTGTCTTAAATTCGCATTAACCATGCTTTGAGCTGGTTCACACGTATCGACTTCTAAACCAGGCTCACAAGCATGGTACCCTATATCGAGCTGGTTCTCACAGCTTCCACTATCACATTCTCTAGGGTTCGACATTAGTTGTTTGACCACAATTGGCGAATCTTCGGAGGGTAGATTCAAGAAACCATATCCAAGTGGCTTGTGGGTAGGGACGAGGTGAGGGTATTGATGAGTGTAATTGAGGCCTAAATCGAAGCTTTGTGGTTGATGGTATGGTAAATACTGATGATGGTCTTGGCCGTATGGGAAGGAACGAGGTTGATTCGTGGTGGTGTTGTGTCGTTCTGACCCTATGCCGCTACCACCCGATGCTTCGTTTCCCCCTATCTTGAATAGGTTTCGTTTTTTGAACACCCGACAAATCACCCATCCATCTTCCTATTAAAGAGACAAGTTACAAATATATAAAAGAATACACGTAATTATTAGTTGTTCACTCATTGGTATTAATTGGAAAAGGAAAGTTTTTAGGATAAGATGTACGCAAACATTTAATCTGTGGAACAAGAAAGAAGAATATAGATTAATCTGTGGAACTAGAAAGAAGAGTATAGATTCAACTTACGGAAGTAGAGATCGGAATGGGATTGAGAGGATCATGATGATCTTCGACATCTTCAAGGCGATACTCGTGCATGATCCAATCGGTCTTTTGGCCATGGGGAGCTCGTCCGCAATAAAAAACTAGGGTTTTCCTCATACCGATCTTCTTGAAGGTGTTACGGATGCACTTATCTCGTCCTGTTGCTTTCCAAAATCCAGCGTTTGTCGCTCTGTTCGTTCTCGATCCGGTAGGATACTTCTTATCCTTATGGCTGAAGAAGTACCATTCATTTTCAGGCGTTGACCCTATCTTACATCTCTCTATAAAATTATGGCAGAAAATTCGTTTGATTACATGGACGCCATTAAAATGAAAACAAGAAATGAAAAGAAGAAAAAGGGTTTACCTTGGAGGTCCCATGGCTCAATCTTGTTCAAGTCGACTTCCCTAATGACATCCATGTCAAACTTTTCAAAAGAAATCTTCTTCTTCAAGTAGTAATGAAGCAGTTCTTCGTCGGTGGGGTGAAACCGGAACCCCGGCGGAACACCACCGTTAGATGATGCCATGATTCACCGACAACCAGATCGACTTCACTTACTGCTTTGTGTGCGTGTGTGTGTGTTAATTTTGAGTAGGGTGATATCAACAATCATTTAGGTTTCAGTGCAAAGTGTTTTTATAGACTAGTGGGGAAGTTGACGGCCGGTGACGACGGCGGAGGTGTAGCCTAAAGCTGACGTAGATTGCAAGTAACAGGTATCTGGACTGACCATCAATGGCGATGTGCAAGTACTTTGAATCCTATATCTACGCCCACGATACAAACGCGTCAGCACACCAGCCCTCTTGTTTACAGCTTTCTTTTCCAAATGATTCAATTATATATATATATATATATATATGAATCGAATTGGGATGTTTGATTGCTGTGAAAGCAAGGTGTTCATGGGAACAGAAGCTGCTTAAAACCCTTCTAGGGATCAGTTTCGATTGGACGGTTTAATGTGCACATGCGGCTACGACCTTATGAGTGTTTAATCATGTTTTTAATTATTCCATTGACTTTGCTGGTTTGAAATCGACGTTATCCATGCATACATCCTCATTTTTCCAGGGCTCACAAACCCAGAAAATGGAAATTTCCTTCTTCCTCAAATTGACCTAATTTTACTCATTTATTTAGGTACGAGATTGGTTAGGTTGCCGGACGCCTCCTCTGATACCAACTTAGAATTAGGATTATAAGTGAACTGAATAAAGGTTTGTTTGTTTTCGTTCTTTTAACTTAACCAAACCGACGAACGAATACGAGGGGTAAAAGAACGAATGAGATCATTGTTCATGTCCATTCATCTAACTAAACAAACAAAAAATGTGTTTATGTTCGTTACTTTATTAAATAAACAAACAAACATAAACGAACTTTCTATTGAACGGTTCACGAATAATTCATTTAATGTTCGATTCATTTACAACACTAATTATAATATGTGAAACACTAATTCTCTTTCTAAAAGAGCTTTGCATATTACATAGGTGGGTTGGTCTATGACTAGTTTATATGGAACACCAACAAGCATTGAGGGATCCAAATTCTTTGATGATGGGTCGGAATTTAAGTGTCCTTTACTTAAATATATGTGTCTCGTTAATCCTTTTTTTATCAGGATGCTCCATTCAAAGAATATCATTCAAATTAACATTTAGTCATCCGCTTACAAACCCTAATCTTAACTTGACAACAAAAACCTATAAATTTGACATCAGCTAATAAACCTTTTAACTATTAATAGTTAACAAAAATGTAACAATTATACATTAACCGATAAACTTTGAACCTAACAATTTCAACATTCAGAATTAATATAAAAAATTAATAAGGAAATTGGGGTAAAAAAAATCTATGGGGTCAAAACACATGCATACATTTTCTTTAGACTTTTATGGGGTTATCTTGAACTCCCCCAAAAGGCAAAGCATGGATCCGTCTATGCCAGTCTCAACATATTTCTTGAATTATATAGAATTTTATCAAATTGAAACATTAAGACATGATAATGGTATAATATATACAATCAAGCTTCGGGAACCAACTATGAACATACTTAAAACGGGAATCCAATTTACACGACGTGAAAAAATACATGAAAAAACCGAAATACGTACTTGCACATTTTCAACTCTATATAACTTTTATACTTTTAACCAAAATATACACACATATATATATATATATATATATAGAAAGAGAGAGAACATGATTCAAATGTTAACCAAAACTATTGTGTTAACTTTGTTAACTATTTTCAATCAATCACAATCCATCTTAGTATTAGGTTCATATCCATCTTAGAATTTAATGACAAAGATACATATGTAATTTTCTTTTAACTCCTATATCATTAATTGGGAGTTACAAAATCATAAAATTAATGACAAGGGTACTTATTATTAATCTTGTTATTTTTTTAATATTGATTTTTAATCTCTAATGTTTATGAATTTGTAATTGGTGGAGTAAACTCAGTAGTAAAGTTTTCATTATCGTTGAAATTGACATATACGAAAGATGATGAACATGTGTGACCATATGAACACATTCACATATGAAAATATTCTTACAGCCATATAAACACAACTCGATATATATGAACCATTGTGTCAATTACGAACACAAATTGACATATATGAACATTTGTGTCGATTACGAAAATAAATTGACCCATTTGTACAGTTGGTATAAATATGAACACATATTGACCCAAATGAACATACGAAAAATGATGAACATGTGTGACCATATGAACACAAATTCACATATATAAACATTCGTACAACCATATGAACACAACTCGACATATATGAACATTTGTGTCAATTACGAACACAAATTGACATATACGAACCCTTGTGTCAAATACAAACACAGATTAACATATATGAACCCTTGTATCAATTACGAACACAAANAAATACAAACACAGATTAACATATATGAACCCTTGTATCAATTACGAACACAAATTGACATATACGAACCCTTGTGTCAAATACAAACACAGATTGACATATATGGATACTTGTGACATTTACGAATTTTTTCCATATACACCCTTGTTCACACATTAACAATTACAATAAATATCGAATACTTGTTCACATATGAACCATTAATAAAAAAAACTGCAGAAGAATCTGGTGTCGATGATATTGTTGTTGGTTTTGATTTGATGACGAGATTAATTCCCTGATAGTTACATTGTTATTAATGGACAGTTATAAAACATCTAATTGTCATTAATGAGCGGTTACAGAACATCTCATTGTCATTAATGGACAACTAAAATCTTTTCCCAAAATCTCTCTTGTAAATATTGTTCACTTATATTACCTTGTCTATATATGCAATTATTTACACTTTATGTCGTGAATGATCTTAGGCACAAATTTCAAAGATCAATGGACAAGATTGGTTAATAAAGTTAATACAATAATTTGGGTTAACAAATGAACTTGCCCATATATATATACATATATATATACACACACAGACACACTATATTATAAAGTTTTCATAAAAAAATTTAAAACTATGTATTATACATGAAGTGCTGCCTATTATTAATGGATATTACTTAAAATTCAATATTGCAAGTAAATTTTGCATAATTACAACTTATTAAGCTTCATATTTGAATTTGTGTAAATAACTATAGAGAAATATAATGAAATACAAGATAAAATTCTCATTATATATATAGTGGTAAGTTCTTTTGTTAACCTAGTTTTGTTGAAAAAATTATCAAAGTTAGATAAAAACCAATAAAATTTTAATCTTTATTAATAAAGTTTAAATCTTTGTTCCAAACGACTATAAAAGTTAAAACTTTATAATTAAATAATGTAACTTTAATATCCGGAATCCAAAACACCCTAAATCGAAAAATGCGTTACAGATTGAATCCATCATCCGTGATAGATTTAATGAAAAAAGGGAGTAGAAGTAGAGTTGTTCACTTAGTGAATGGAAATAAATATTGCACACGAAAATTAAAACCTGTCCTTAAAGGTTTTATACAATCGCTCTTGTATGTTGTGAGTCTACAAGTCACAAAGCCCTAGGATTTGATGAAGTATTGTGTTTCATTTATCAATAGCTTTGATAACGAAACAAAATGGCAGGAGGATGCATAAAAGATTGGTATTTTCACACTATTTTTAGCAGAAAAACGAGAGAGAGAGAGAGAGAGAGAGAGAGAGAACAGATTCTGGCATAGGTTCGAGAGAGAGAGCGCAAGAAGATATTCTCAGTATGATATGAGGTGGTTTAACCCAGTATTCATACTGGTTAACCACCCCAGGATCATGCCCACTATCCCTCAAAATCTGGATCAGATAGAGACCAAGTCTCTAACTGATTTCCACATGTTCAATTAATCTGAGTTATCCAATTTTTATAAATATAAATAAGACAGATCGTAAAATCCTCTACTAAATAATTATCTCTCTAATTTATACCAAAAAGATCTCGGAGCGAGGCTCCTTCTGCTCCGATGTTGCATGCGAAGTGCAAAGTGCAACTGCTCGCGCCACTTTCGTGAATCCCGTGCTCGCGGCCTCGGCCACGGCCATGCACGTGCATATGTGTTGGGCCTTCCACTCATGACCCGCCCCATGAGTTTACCAATTAGTTCAAAGCCCAGTTAGAAAGAAAGCCGTATAAACCTCTCGAATGCTTGTCTAACTACCAATGTGGGATGGAAGATAAACTTCGAACCTCACTAAAATTTCCAACAATTCCTCACCAGGTTGGAAAGTTTTCTGACATTCATAGCAGATAATGTACAGTGGTGACATTGACATTAAACCCTGTTTGATGTAAGTGTGCAAGAAGGGATTAATTCAATGGTATCCTTAGAATTTAAACCTTGAATCTTGTTAACACTCCGACTTACTTACACACATCATCTATCATTCTTTTTCTCTCACTGAGCACGAATATGGTCATGCGCTAAACCCTATTTCATGACTTACAAGAAGAGGAACCACTACTCTTCGTTTGAGGCGGCACCACCTTCAAGTCATATAGGCAAAGTTCTATATCATCTAAGATGTCTCTAAACTTTGTTAAGAGATTGACTCATCCTCGTTCTTGACAACACCACACTATCTTTCACCTTACATGGACTTATCAGTTGATAATACCTTCTATCAGTTAAGTGACTTGTTGATACTCTTTAAACTTCGTAGATAGGAGCACTATGTTCAAGTTGGGTTTCCATCACTAACTTATTCTATGTGGTTTCAAACCCATGACTCTGGTAGTTGACCCTACCTAGTCTCTCGTCAGAGGCTTGGTCAATGGATCTGCCCAGTTCCCATAAGACTTGACAAACACAATACTCCCTCCCCGATAGTGGCATTTCTTGCAGATCCACGTGATACCATACTGAATACAGTAGCGTGATATAAAAATCCAAATACTAAATACATTCAACCATTGAAAAAACAAAAAGAAAAAAAACGACTACCACCATTTCAAACCACAAAGCCATAATTTATTATT